TCTCTCTCTGTTCCACTCTGGTCAAATTGAAATAATAAATAAAGTTAAATAAAATAATTATTAAAAAAATTTAAAAAAATAAATGGAGATAGGTTTTGAGTTCTGTCAAAAATATGCTTGATACTTAAAATTTAAAAACATGAACACTTTAGACTTACCACCTCAGATTCTGATCCTGTTAAAACATAAAAAGAGGCATTTTCAGAAAATAGTACATTTATAGGCAAATGTTAAATGATTTCTATGACACAAACATACTGATTAAACAAGCCAATTCTCAATACCTTTCAAATAAAGGAAGGTGATTTAATTTGCTTCCTAGAATCATGTTAGAGTCCCTAGTAATTTCTTACCCGTAATACCATGACACAGTGCAAAGTGAATCTATCCAAATCCCCCTTTCAACCTAAGAAATGAGGCAGAAACCACTGTATCTTTAGAAATCTATATCTAGGGACCAGTAGTTGGTGTAATGGCTATGTTGCTGGACTCCCACATAGTCAACTGTGGCTAGAGTCCTGGACTCGGTGGCTTAAACTCACACCGAACGCATGTGCATGCGTGCCCAAGATCCCGAGAGGAGAATGGAGAAGAGATTGTGGTGTGGCCCTCTCCCCGGGCAGTGATTTCTCACTTTTTGTCTCTGTCTCATTCTGGTGAGCACACGTGCCCTATAGCAAAAACCTGTTCAAAAAAAAATTTTTTTAAGTAAAGAAATAAATCCGTATCTAACAAAACATACACAACTTGAATTAAAGTTAGAAACAAATTTCCAGGGCTAGCTGGTGACATGGTGGTTAAGGTGGCTGGATCCCCCACGGCCAATTGTGTGATTGAAGTCCTGGACCCAGCGGCTTGAAAAACACACCAACACATGTGTGTTTATGCCCAGGATCCCAAGAGAAGAATAGAAGAGATGGGATTGTGGTATGGCCATTCCCCATGAGAGAAGATTTCTCACTCTCTCCCCCTCTCTCTTCTCCTCTCTTTCTCTTTCTCTCTCTTTGGTAAGTACATGTGCCTTATAGCAACACTACGAAAAAAAAAAAAAAAGCAAAAACAAGCAAAACAAAAAACAAATCTGTGTAAATGTCAAAATTTAACATTTTTTTTTTGGAGAGGTTTTTGCTATAGGGCGCGGGTGCTTGCCAGACAGAGAGAGACAGAGAGATAGGGGTGATGGCCACGCCGCAATCCCTTCTCCTCCATTCTCCTCTTGGGATCTTGGGCATGCACACACACACGCCCGGCGAGCGTTTAAGCCACCGGGGGTCTGGGACTTGAACCGCGGTCGACTACGTGGGAGTCCAGCAACATCGCCATTACGCTAACTGCTGGTCCCAACATTTTTTTTAAAAAACTGAAAAAAGACATATGGTAACCTATATAACATACTTACCATTCTGAGCATCTTGACACCTCTTAATCCAGACAACAAAATCTGCATCTACACCTGAGAAGGAAAAAAACAACCGTAACATCTAACTCACCTGCATGACCTAACACACTCATTCGACAAATACTGAATACCTAACATGTCCCAGGCACTGGGGATTCAGCAGTGGATAAAACAGACAAAAACACCTGTCCTAACAGAGTTTACAGAAACCCAAAAGTTATAGCTGTTAATGTACCGTAAGTCTAATATTTAGTTGTTCATTTGAAAAACTGATTTTTTTTTTTAAGTTTCAACTGAAGTCAACCTTACTAGTTTTCCAGATACAGATAATCCACTTTTGTCTCCTTCTCTTACTCTTAAGAGTACTTACTCTCTCATAACAAAATCAGATTCCCAACATCAGTAAGGGTGGGATGGAGGCATGGTAACTCGTAGTTGGGTTGAGATTCAAAAGTCTCTCTAGACCCCAGCTTATTCTTCAATGTATCTACCTAATCTGTAGGTAATTCTCTCAGTGGTTTTTCTTGTTATTATGCCTCTCCTATCCACACCAAGAAGCATCTTCATACTCTGAAAGTTTAGTCATATACCAAAACAAGAAATGATAGATGGTGAACTATGCATTTGTGGACCACAATGTAAATGTGTAAATAACTAAAGACCCAAAACAATAATTATATCCAACCATAGTGCATAAACTATGTTAAGAAAAATGTTGAAATACTCCAAATAAAAGTTCGTTAATTCAAGCTAACTACAAGCAAGATTAATCTGAAAAATCAAAAGCAATTAAAAATTCCTTAAAGCAAAATTTTCTAATTTACTAACATATAAGAGAAATGAAACTACCTATGCTTGTTTAAAATTTTAAATATTAAATACACATACATGTACACAAAATATTCTAGTGTAGAACTATTATATCAAAATCTTAGACTTGAATAACCTATTATTCAACTAATCAGCAAATAAAACCAAGCTTCCTACTACCCAAAAGGGGAAAAGTAGGAATTATAACAAATTGAGTTATAATTTTTTTCAGTTATAAATTTTATACCCTGTCTGATAAAAATGAAAGTCTAACAATAACTTAACCCAAATTATTCTGTAATTAAATTTAAAGCCAATTTTTTTGTTTGTTTTGTTTTTTTGCTATAGGGCACGTGTGCTCTCCAGACAGACAGAGACAGACAGAGAGACAGAAAGCAAGAAATCACCCCATCAGGGGGGATGGCCACACCTCAATCCCTTCTCCTCCATTCTCCTCTCAGGATCTTGGGCACGCACGCACATGCACCCAGCGTGAGTTTTAAGCCACCGGGTCCAGGACTCAAATCGTGGTCAAATACATGAGAGTCCAGTGACATAGCCATTATGCTAATTGCTGGTCCCAAAGCCAAATTTGTTTTTAAATTATGTAGACTAACACCAATTTTACAGCAGACATAGTCTTCTGAAAGTATGTCAAATTAATTCTAGGATAAAAGTCAATAGTATAATATTAAGATGGTACCCAAGGAAGGAATTTAGGCAGGGAACTTTCTCTTGTTCTTTTTCTAAGTTTTTGCTATAGGGCATGTGTACTCATTAGAGACAGACATATAGAAATCACCCCACAGTGGGGGATGGTCATGCTGCAGTCCTTTCTCCTTCAGTCTCCCCTCAAGATTTTGGGCAAGCATGTACACACACTCAGGGTGGCTTTCAAGCTTCTGGGTTTGGAACTCAAAACTGTACAGCTGGCCATATGGGATCCAGAGCCTTGGCCTCCAAAAAGGAGGGGGTAATGAGGCAAAGGGACTGTGGCACAATCATGTCCCATGGGGGCTGCTTTGTCTGTTTCTCTCTCTGGTGAATGTGCACATCTTTTTTTTTTTTTTAATAGTTATTTAATTCCATTAGTAGTAGTAGTAGTAGTAGTTATTAATTTGACCAAAGAGAGGGGAGAAAGAAAGGGAAACTGAGAAAGCAAGCCACCAGGTCTGGGACTCGAACCACAGTGGATATGTGGGAATCCAACGCCTTTAACCACCACACTACCTGCCAACTCCAATGCACACACCTTCTAATAACAACAAAAAAATTACTTCAGAGAACTATGATATCATAGTTCTTTGATATAAGATCTAGGGACCAGCAGATGGTGTAATGGTTTCATTTCTCAACCCCCACGAAGTCGACTACAGTTTGAGTCCTGGACCTAGCAACTTAAAATTATTGCTGGGCAGCTGTGTGTGTGTGTGTCCAAAATCCTGAGAGAAGAATGGAGAAAAAGGGACTGTAGCATGACCATTCCCCCTGGGAGTGATTCCTTGCTTTCTGTCTCTGACTCTCCAGTGAGCACACAGCTATAGTAAAAATCTGATAATTTTTACACATTCATTTAAAAAAGATGACATTAAAAACTCACAATACTTGGGGCCAGCAGTTGGTGTAATGGCTATGTCACTGAACTCCCAAGTAGTCAACCACAGTTTGAGTCCTGGACCGGGTGGCTCAAACTCACGCTGGGCATGTGTACCTGAGTACCCAAGATCCCATAAGGATGGAGGAGAAGGAACTGAGGCGTGGCCATCCTCCCTGGGGGTGATTTCTCCCTTTCTATCTCTCTGCCTCTCTCTGTCTTTCTGGCACACACACCCTACCTATAGCAAAAATCTCTCAAAAAACAAACAAACAAACAAACAAAAAAACCACAACTCACAATAATGGACAGCAGCAGATGGTATAATGGTTAGATCCCTGGACTCCCATAGTTGACTGCAGTTTGAGTTCTGGACCCGGCGACTTAAAACTCACACAGGGCACATGTGCGTGCATGCCCAAGATCTCAAGAGAAGAGATTTCAGCATGGCCATATCCCTGGGAGGGCAATTTCTCATTTTCCATCTCTCTGTCTATTACTTCAGTGAGAGCACATGCCCTATAGTAAAAATCTCCCTGCAAAAAAAATTTCTATCTCACAATAATGGCCAGGTGCAGTGACATGGCTATACCATAACACCCCACAATGCTGAAGTCATATGGGAAGGTCTGAGGTTCATGTCCTGAGGTCTTCCTGTACATAATAAGCACATGTGTGCCGAGGCTCTTGGCTGGCTGAGGCTGGGTGTGGATCATAGCATGAGGATCCTTTTGGGCATGCTCCAGATCTCTCCCCTATCCTCTCTCATGGAATTAAAAAAAAAAAACCCTCTCAACATTCTCTAAGTTCCATTTTTCTTCTGTATGTCACATAATTTACCCAAATTTACACATCTCTTCTCCACAAAAGATTCTGTTCTAAGATTTCCCATTCTTGGTGATCTGATGAATTAAAATGAAGACTTCTGACCAAGAGAGCAAATGAAAACTTTCATTAGAAAAATATAAAGCCAGAGTCAGAAGGGACAGCACATTGAGTGTTTATACGCAGTTATTGGTTTATAACAGTAAAGTTTATCTGTGATTTAAATGCTAAATTAAGGACAATTTAATTAATGTATGAGTGAATCCAGATTCTGCAATCAACATAAATGTCATGAAGAGAAGACAAAAAGGTGCTGAGTTTCTATAATTAACTTAAAATTATGTTAAGAAAATTTAGCTATGGTATTTGAGGCAGAAATAATAGCATTTTAAAATATAATTCTAATACTTACTATCTAATTTCTGTCCTTCTTTAAAAGTTTCTAAAGCAGCAGCATAGTTTTTTTCATGGTATTCACATATCCTGTATGAGCACATTAAAAATGAATTAATAAGCACACATGAGATTATAAAAAATAGCCTTCTTTCTAAATAAAATAAATCTTAGTATTCACCACTACTGAGAGAAAGAATTCAAGTATATGTTAATAAGTCAGGAGATTTTCTAAAATACTGTAACATGTAGTATAATTCCTATTAAAATTCAATTTTAGAACTCATTTCAGAAAGAATTCGATTATGACTGTATATTCTTGCTTATTCCAAAATATAATTACATGAAGGAATTAAAGAAATGTTTTACTTGAAAGATAAAGTCACACTTATCAACAGAAACAAGCTGGGTTATGAACACAGATATAGCTTCACAGCATTAAATGTAGCCTATCCAGCTTAGATGAAAAGTAGAAAGCTCTCTCGTCAAATACAATAAATCCCAAATAATGAACAAAACAGGGATGTAAAATCTTTGTTTCTTGTAGTACTTTAATCACTTCTATTTTAGATCACACTAACTAGAGATCTCCTATCAGATACTATAGTTAACACAATAAAATTATGATTTACATTTAAAACTGATCAAGACTCAGCTATAAGATGTATAAATAATGGAATTTGACTATTTATATAAACCTTACAGTTCACTCATTCCACCAATTAAGCATCTATTCCCTACAGTTCAAAATTAAGGAGTTACTGCATACCCTTTTCTCAGCATAGCAGTGGAATTATTTGGATTGAGTTCAAGAGACTTCTTTGCATCGGCAATAGCATCTGTATCCAAAAAGGTAACTTGTTTAGTCAGTTATTTATAGATTCTAGCAAATACTACATACAAAACTTGGTCTTAGATTTTCAAGTTGGTAGAAAGGCAAAACAGCTTTAAACCAGGGAAAGCTAATCAAAGAAATAATTCCAATAAATATTATACTATCACTTATTAAAAATTTATTATCATTTTTTTTATTTGCTACAGGGCATGTGCACTCACCAGAGAGAAAGCTGCCAGGTCTGGAATTCAAACTATGGTCAGTCATGTGGGAGTTCAGAACATTAACCACCACGTCACCTACTGGCCCCGACACTCATACTGTCTTTATAGCCTGATGTTTAGATTCCTTCTTAACGATCTTCAATGAATAAAAGTAGTATGTCAAAAAGTTTCATCTTTTCTCATTAGCATCATTTATATAATCTGACTCAAGGTAATGAATTTTTCCCTACCCAGATTCTTGATCAGAATAATTTTTTAAAGTTACACAATATAGTACATTTATCTTTAATAAAGAGGGAAAAACAAAAACAAAAACAAAACAGTGGGCTGGATCAGTGGCCTGGTGATTAAGACAGCCAGATCATACATGACTGACTGCGAAATTTGAGTGTTGGCCCTAGAAGATTGAGAGACATGCCGGGTGTATGTGTGCATGCCCCAAATCCCAAAACAAAGACATGGAGGAGAAGGAATTACAGTGTGACTACTTTCCATACACTGTCCATAGGGAGTGCTTTCTCCTTTTCCTCTCATTCTTTGGCCAGGTATGTGCCCTCCAGCCAAAAAAAAGGTCAGGCATGCACATTTTGTTTACATATTCTGTGAAAACAGCAAATGTGAAGCTATTCTTCATTAGCATATCCAATAATTATGAATGAAACTTATGTACTGATTTACATTATGAAGTAATGTAAATTTATGTGAATTCTCCACCTACTGAATTTGAAACCAGCAGATGGCATACTGATTATGTCGCTGGACTCCCTCATGGCCAACTGCAGTTCAAGTCCCAAACCCGGTTACTTGAAACTCACATTAGGTGAGTGTGCATGCATGCCAAATACTCCAAGGTGAGAATGGAGAAGAAGGAATTGCAATGTGGCCATCCCCTGTGAGGGGTGATTTCTCATTCTCTCTTACTGTCTTTCTCTTCCCTCCTCCCCAAGCAAGTGTACACACCCTAAGACAAAAACCTCTTAAAAAAATGTTTTTAATGGGTCAAATGGATTACTTAATGTAATATTTGTCACACTACAGTTACTTCCTCTTGTAGGAAAAAACAATTTAAAAATCTTCAAAGACACCATCCATTTGATTTGGTTCATTTTGTCTTGGGCAAAATTTATAAGTAACGTATAAAGGAGAGACAAAATACTAGTAAGAAAAGTTACCACAGTAATTCCCAAGAAGAATGTGACAATAAGCTCTTTGACAATAATACTGCGCATCATCTGGTTTCTGTTCCAAAGCCTTAGTCAGCTCCTACAAATACAAACATGTTAGAGGTCAGCAAATGTTTCTTAAAAGCCATCAAATTCTATTTAAAACATGATCTAAATCAAATAACCTATTATCATAAGCTTTTTTGGAAGAAAGATAACAGGGAAACAAGCTTGGAGCTATTCCTAGTAAGAGGATCACTATCTATCCTTCTCTTCTCCTATCCCCCAAAAGCCCACAATCAAACATAATATCTATGTAAAGCACTTATCAGTTCCTGACTTTCATTTGGAACTAATAAATGATAATTATTATCACCTCATTTTTCTGAAAAGTTTAGTTGATATACATTGACCACCACAAATTTTTTTCTTCTAATGTAGAGAAGACACGGAAATTTGAGATGCCTAGAAAATGTGAAGCTATCCAATTAAAAAAAAAAAAAAAAAAAACCCTGGAAGTTAAATTTAGAGCTCATGGAGGTTAACAGAATCAATAAATACATAATCAAGCTTACCTCGCCCTCTTGTGCCCTGTCAATGGCAGACAACCCCAATAAAGTACAACATTCTGTTCAAAGCCCAGATACAGTCTCAATGCTAGCTGTTATCAATCAAGAGCTAATCAACTGATTAGAGAGATTAAAACTTTTGCCACCCTGGGCAGACACAATATACAGTGGAGGGGAGGGAGAGTACCTGAAATGATAATGATAACAAGAAAATCACACAATCAATGAAGCCAAAGACAAGTGCAGACAAACAGGAAAATCCTGAGTCTCTGCCACTGCCCATATACTCTAGGGATTAGGTAATTTCCTTAAAAAGGTAAAATTATTTCAGTAGCTTGTGTCTGTCTTTGCTTTAACCCACCCAGTATTGTGATTCTCACTAAGCTATGTGTACGCTGTAATCAAAATATACCTAAAATTCAAACCACTTTTTACCATCTTAACCATTACCCTGTCCAAGCAGTAATGTCAACCAGCACAAGACTGGACAAAATTCTCTATGCTTTCCCAACTGTCTCTGAACAACAGCCCAAGTTCTTCCTACAAGGCCCTCCTTGTAAGACCCCCATTATCTAATTTCATCTTTTATAGACTCTCCCTATTGCTTCTCCATTCTGTCCACGCTGGCCTCCTTACAGTTTCTCAAATATCAGGACTCCACATCTGCTTCTCCCTCTGACTAGAATATTGTTCCCTCACAAAGAATTCATTCCTTCATTTGCTAGTTAGTTGCAAGACTGCCAGGCAGAATTCAAATCCAGATCTATCCAAAGTGATTTTCACCACCAAACAACACTCTCTTCTAGTTTTGTACTCCATGTTTCTCTTGAGTTTGTATTAATGTTTCCTAATATTTTGACAGTCCTAAGTTAAATGATACGATTTTGCATCAAACTTCCTATTTTGAAAATAGTGCATGGTTTCTTACCTATCTACTCAAATGTATCTTTAAGCCAAACTTCTAGTTCCTTCTCAGTTGGAAAACAGGCATCTTATAGTTAAAGAGGCTATTTATAGATTATGCTGACATCTGAAACATTAATTCGAAAGTATTTTTAGGTCCAAAGTGTTACACAGCTAACACACTGTGTTCCACAAGCTGGGACCACATGGGAGGCCTGAGTGTGACTCCTAGTCCAACCTAAAGACCAAGCATGGTGGTGTAAACCTGTGGTTTGGGGAAGCTGAGGCAGAAGGATCAGGTGCTCAAAGTTGGTCGGCTGACACAGCCAAGACCCTGTATTCTTAAAAAAGGAGCCACATATGAGATTGCATGGGAAGCTGAGGCAGAAGGATCGTGACACAGCAAAATCTTACCTTTAGGCAAAAATATAGTGGAAATAAGGCGGATGGGGGAGCAAAGATTTTTTTTTTCCCAAAAAAATACACATACAGAGCCTCCAAAAATTTCAAAGAAAATGCATACTATGAAAACACTAGACCTGAATTTTATGATTTTTTGCACGAAAATAAACTCAAATTCAATTTTTCCACAAAATTTCTGAAGTATCCACGTGTGTGTGTGTGTGTGTGTGTGTGTGTACAAGTAGATATTTCTTTCCTTAAGTTCCTTATTTTCAAACCACTTTCACAAAGGACTTTTAAACTCCATAAGCACAATCCAATTGTTGGTTAAGACAAAACAATTATGTTGATTCAGTTAAACAAATTAAGTTTA